CTATGATGAACAAAGGGTGAATAGGCACAATCGCAATGTGATTGTGTACATCCATATGTGCATTGTACATGTGCATGTACTGAAAAAAGTACACACGCACACCTGTATGTCGAATATCATGATCGTGCTTAAGTTGACCGGAGTGGAGGACTGTCGAGGATTTGATTCTTGGATATTCTGTGAGCAACTGGACTTGTTTTGGACTGTGGCAACAAGTGAGCAGAAATTCAGGGACTAATACAAATGGGCCATTGTAAAGTCTTGTCATGGAGAAGCTTGCGTGTTTTGCAACGCATGTACATTTAACTGTGACATGATCAACATTGCCCACACTGGCTTACGACACTGAGAAGCACATTAATTAGGCCAAGTAAAAAATTGCACTTCTTTTGGTCAAATAGGGTCGGTAAGTAAGGAGTTTTTGACAATTTTTTTCTTCGTTGATTGATTGCGATGAAAGTTGCCAAAAATTGCCCCAAAAGTGATTAAAATAAAAACTTACCAGAATTAATGTGGAAATTTTATAATCAACAATTACAATTCACACTTGCACAATGCTAGTCAGGTAATTAAAAGTGTTTTGACGTGACAAGTTGTTGACAGGTGTTCGTTTTGAAAGAAAAGACGGCAGGATTTGTTTAACTTTTTCTAATTTGCCAATGTAAATTCTTAGGGCGGCGCCAAAAAATTAGGGTCAGTCGGGAAACCGGAACAGGAAGTGCAATAGGATTACACTTTTTCCTTTGGGAAATTTGCCATCTCTGAATAAATGTACCAATTTGATCGTATTTCAAGCATCAGAAAGCGTTGAGAACTGTGCTCGATATGTTTTGCAATCCAAACATTTATCCGGCACTATAATGGTCCTAGCTAGAACACTGGTTGTGTTTCTTATTACCATGATTACATTGAAAAAATAGGTTGGATAGGTACATGTTTTATGTATTTTCTCTTTAGGTCAAAATGTTAAGGTGGGGAATATTTTGGTGCAAATTTAAAGTGATTTTGATGGTACACAGTGTATTTTTCTCTTTGACCTTGTGGGAACAACTGCACAAGATTCTGTGCAGAAGACCAAGGACCTTGTTTGCTTTGGTTGCTGTTATGTTCACGTGGTCTGTCCAGTTTAATTTGCTAATGACTTCAACGCCAAGGTACTTGTGATTTGCAATAGAATCTAAGTGTTCCCCATTCATATTGTAAAATATGGAAGGGTTTCTGTTTATGAGTAATATACATCACACAACATTTATTTCTATTAAATTTCATCTGCCATTTAGATATCCAGTTGCATAGGGTGTCAATATCACTTTGAAGAACCACCATGTCTTCTTCAGATTTGATTTCTCGGTAGGAAATACAGTCATCAGTGAAAAGTCGTACTTGGGACATTATGCCTATAGGGAGATCATTTACATGTATGTAAAGGATGAAGAGTAAAGGCCCCAAGACGGTGCCTTGAGGGACTCCAGATTGTACCTTGGCTGATGATGAAGAAACCCCATCTAAAACAACAGATTGTGTCCTCATGGTGAGAAAGTTATTAAACCAGCTGTGCAAGCTTCCTAGTATGATACCTGACTGTCGAAGCTTCAGAAGATGTTTAAGAGGAACTGAGTCAAAAGCTTTACTAACGTCTGTTATAATGACATCTGCTTGACCTTGGCCGTCAAGTATTTTCCCTTGGTCGTTAATTGTCAGCGCCAATTGTGTTTCGCATGACCGCCCCTTACGGAAGCCATGTTGTTCTTCATTTATGATATATAATATGTGTATTTGTGTAGATAATATGCTCTGATAGTTTGCATGGTATAGATGTCAGTGAGACCGGCCAGTAATTACTTGGGTCTGCATGATTTCCTTTTTTAAATATTGAAGAGATATTAGCTTTTAACCAGTCCTGCGGTAACTCACCAGTATTGATAGATTTTTGAAAAATTTGTTGAAGTAATGGGGCTATGCTGTCGGTACACTCTTTCAGAACAGAAGGTAGCATTCCGTCTGGACCGGGTACTTTGTGAGGTTTCAGCTCTTTAAGTATTTTAATACCCTGTGTCATGATTTTTATTAGGGCCATGTAGGGAGGTGTTGACAATCTTCCTGGGTGAAGACAGATTGAAATTGACTGCTCATGACGTTAGCTTTATCTAAGGGAGACGCTGCCATACCAGTTGCTATCTTTAATGGAGCAACACTAGTTGAGTTGTTTCAGGCTTTTAATGAACCTCCAAAAAGCCTTTGTGTTTTTGATGACAAGTTTTCTCCAACTGTGCAGAGGCATTCACTGCGTGATTTCTCAGGCTATGATCCAGTACCTTACATAGTGTGCGGAGGTTTTCCCACTCAGTCTCGCATCCAGTGTGTTGTGCCTTGTCATATGCTTTCCTTTTATGTGTACTATTAAAGTCTTTTATGAGTGTGTTTGAACCAGGGTAAGTTTCCGTTTGGTGTGACCAATCTTGAAGGAATGTGCTGGTTCATAGATAAGTCAGGGTTGCCTTAAAATTTTCCCATAATTCATTGACATTTGCGTTTTTAACTGTGTTATCATCGATTGAACCCGAGTAGCTATTTAGGTCCTTCTCACTGCTTTCACAGTCCCCCTTTTTATGAGGTAGATTCTTCTGTGCTGTTCCTTTATTCTGTGGTGAGAGGACATGAATTCTGTCAACACAATGTCAAGATCTGACATCCCCAGTAATATGTGTACAGTACGTTTTGCACAATCACATTTGTATTATTGCTGTTCCATGTAGGTTGTGTAACAATTTGATGCAAGTTGTGATCGTTGGCTATGTTTATCATCTGCTTGCTGATCGCAAGGTTTCTTCAACCTGGTTTAAAGCAGTTACTTGACCAGTCAACATCAGGCAAGTTGGAGTCTTTAGCCAGGAAAATTTGAATACTGGTAGGTAGTTTTGCAATGGCATTTTCGAGATCTGAGAGCTGCTTTTGATCTATAGTGGCTGAGTTTTGGTGTTTTCTGTGAAAAGCTCCTATGTATAGTATGGGGCGACCTACGACACTGAGGCTAGTCCACAGCATTTCCCAGTCTGCATTTGATGTAACTCTTCACCCTGGACAATGATATCTCAGCAGAACACAATCAAGACACCACCACCGGTAGTGTCGGATTGACGGTCACAGAAAGAGACTTGGTATGGTGTGCTCACTAGAATAAATCCCATCCTGTAGCCATGTTTCTGTACCTATAATAACATAAGGTTTTTCCATCTCAAGTAATGATTGAAATTCTGCAGTTTTGTTTTGTAAGCTTTGAAAGTTAATGTTCAAAACCTTTAACAAGTTATTCAATTTGTTTGGTCTTTTGTTTCCCAGTCTGATGTGCTGTAACTCTTAGGGTTTTTTGCCTTTGGCTTGTTCTTTTCTGGCGTTGATGAGAGTAAAGGTCTGCCTACAGTGATATTTGTGCCATAACTTTCAATATTGTCATTGGCAGAGCCAGGAAGTTGGAAAGGATTTGAAATTTCCAATTCAACTTCAGATTCATTGTACACAGTGCTGGAAAAATTTGGTAGGCCACAGTTGCAACATATCCAAGAATACGAGTTGTGTTTCATGTGTACTTGATACAATACGTCTCTCATTACTGTGCACTTTGTGTGGAACCATACTTGGCATTCTTCTCATTCCATTGTTTTGTGGTTTGAGCTGACATTTTTACCGCATGAGCCACATTGATATTTTGGAATTCTAGGCTTAACAGTTTTAGGGCCTGGATTCACTTGGATATGCACTTGGATAATAATAATACTACGGACAAGCTTGTGAGCGAGTTTGAGATGAAATATTTTCTTTGTTCACCTATGTGAAAATTACACTTGTGGTCACCATCTTGAATTCCTGGAGAGAATGTAGAACAGATATGGAACAAACTCCCCCAGTTACTGTTTTGCCGTTTCAGAGAAGTTGGAATCCGGAAGGGTTGATCAGCAGGACGTTGACATAAAGTATTCGCAAACAAGGCAGTAAGAAAGACAGCTCCAACAAGTGACCGAGTCAAATTCATTGCCAACATAGATGCGTGCTGGGTGACGTGTACATGCATGTACAAAGTCTAGGGTTTCAGTGCATATAGTTTCCTGATGTATCAAACTCCAAGTGAAAATTTAAAATTGTGTTAAAAACATAAAAAAATATCAGGTATACGAAATAAAAAATGAGTGATCCGTACAGAGCAAGTGTTAAAAAAACACATCATACATGTTTAAAAATGGGATGCCAAATCTAAAAGGACGATTTACTAAGATAAAAAAAATCTGCTGAGGGACCAACATAAAAACGCATCCGACACCAACCACAACACACGTGTCGCTTATGTTGTTTCAGCAGGTCACAAGTTTGCTAATGCTGTTCTGAGTGGCGACGTGAAAGAGGCTTCAAGCATTGTTGAATAATTCAGGAAAGTGAAGAGAAAGTTTTGCTGACTTTATTACTACCCATAAAACTTAACTTCTCAAATTCTCAAGTAAGTCTCAAGTGGAGGTGGTGATGAGGTAGAATTGGCAAAATAAATGAATAAATGAAGTCTGATTTGAATTCTACAGATTTAAATCACCAACACTGGAGGATTTACACTCCTGGCACAATTGGTCTGCATTGCAGTTCAGCCGAGTTTCCCACCCCTTCTGGTGTGCACCAGGCAATTTCCATAAGAATGCGCTGGGGCCTTAAGGGTTTAGTGCACATTCACAACAGCGGGACTCTTTTGAGATAACTCAACCATGACTAATACCCTGATGGAAAATATAATCTTATGTAAAGTCCTTCAATGTCAGTGAGTAAAAATCAGTAGAATTCAATTAAAACTTCATTTATTCAATTAATTTGGGAATTAACTTTTATTTTACATTTGGTCAGGAGTATATATGAAGAGCTATTAATCATTAAGACCAGAGGATGTTACATGTATATCACACACTACACATATACAATTTTCAACAATACTGTGTTTGTGGAAAGACAAAAGGTTAACTCACCTCAGTTTGAAATGCGAGAGTCATCTGCAAAAGTTGTGCTAGCTGTGGGGTGAGTTTGCTCAACCCATCACTTTGAAAAAGTCTGCCAAGTACATTTTCCAAGAAGCAGGTCAGAGCATCCCAATGTATGTAGGATGGCGAGTGCTGCGTACAGGCATCTCTTCCTGACACACAATCATACGTAAAGTTTATTTGTAAAAACACCAACAGCTTGGTTTTGTTTTAATGGACGAACACTTATAATTTAAGGATGTGCCAACTAGTGGCATGAAATGAAGGGCACTTCCTCAATCATGACAAGTGCTCCTTCCCCACTATTGCCCCTCGAACATGAGAAAGTGTATGTCATGTAACGATGTTGAAGAGTCTGTGAAGTTACACAGCCCTATAAGTCATCAATATATCTTGAAATGTAGGGGCTGATAGCAGTTGATTTTTTTTTATTCATTTTTTAGAAAAGTCTATGCATTCCGAGGTCCTATGAAAATTTCTGTAACAATGGTGGCACATGTATTTGGACTTTCTTAACCACTTGATGCAAGATGACAGGTAAACACACACCATTTTTGTTATTTGTTCAACGGAAGACATGTACATTCAATTCTTTTTTTATTTCCGCGGTTGATGTATTAATGCATCATGCTTGGAAGGGTCAAAGTGGGGAGCACAATCGTACACGTAGACACTGCTACAAAGTGAACCCATCCCAACCAAAAATAAAACCAAAATGGCTTTCTGGATCTTGAGTAATCAGAAGTGAATTGGGGAAGCCACCCCCTACATAAAAGAGCTTAGTGGATTCAATACCTCCTTTTTTAGCCGATTTGCAAGGGAGAGAAACAACGCTTGCCAGGTATACCATGAGTGATGCCTGTTTTTTTATGCTACGGGTCTTTTGTATGTCAACCGGTTGAGGTGTGGACAAGCGCCATTATTTTTATTAGGGCAGTTGAACAAAAATGAGGAAAAGAATGAAAATACTGATGACTGAACACAAGAGTTGTGCTTCCCTATATATTTTACAGGCTTCATAAATAAATTGCAAAGTTGTAGAATTTTCAGAAGAAAAAAAATGCCCCCAGCAGATTTTTCGTGTTACGAAAATTTGATGTTGACTGGTTGAGATTGTGCACATGGCCTATATATATATGTGGCCCAGATACATACTTTATGTACCACTTGATACAATAAGGAGTTCTTCAAAATTGACAACTGGATGTTAAGCTAAAGTAAGTGCAAGTTACTTCCATCCGTAATGAAAAGAATTCAGCATACATGCAAAGCATGGAAAAATACTTCAATTTCGGATTGCTCAATACAAGTACCTCTAAATAATGACAGTATTGACTGTTTACAACTCATCATGGCTAACTCACGGATAAGTACCTACATGTACCTCCAGTTAGGGCCAATAAAGAATTGGGACCTTTATAGACCTTTATGCCCCCATAACGATGGCTTAAAACAAGGTCCCTTTCTATAACCAGTAATACAGTTAGTCACTGAGGAGGTGATCACAGCAGGGGTGAGATTTGAGGAAACTGAAAAAAACACGGGAAAAATACGTCTCTTAAGTATGTCCCACAATTACCCATTTCAACAATATATCGCACCAAGTGTACCTGCAATATCCTTGCTTGCTTTTTTTCTGATTAATTTCCTATAATTTTGTCTTTCCCTTCGCAGCCTCATATTCCACACCTGACATTTGAGCCACAAAAATTTCCATGTATTTTTTCAAGCTTTCGTGATTGGAAACATCTCCACAATGATCAATGACTTTTAAGGGAATGAAGAGCTATTTTGATCAATCGAAGCAACAATTGAAGAACTGTGCAAAACGAAGATAAAGTGATGCATGAGAAGTTTTGCGTTGACATTGACAATGGAGCAGTGCATGGTACATGTGTACACTATTAAAAGCTGTACATGTACCAAGTCAATATTATACGCATGTACCCAACTGTTCAGTGGTATTCTATTGCATTCCAGCTGGAGTACAACAAAAAAGCACACTTGATATTAAAACCTAAACTTGCACAAGTCCTGCCCATAAAAAATCAATAAATCCTGGCTATGTTTTTCCCAAAATCTGGACAAATCTTTTTTTGATTTTTGTATGTAACCTTGGAAAATTTTTGCAGACCTGCAAGTACTTTACTGTTGACAGAGCAAAAACAGAAAAACAATTACATGCCATTTCAATTCTTTGGCACACTGTACCTGTCTGAAACTAAAATCAGGGGTTAATCCAGGAATTTTGAGGGGGGCCCAGGCTTGTCAGAGTTTTGTTTAATGTCCAATTTTTGCTGTCAGGCAAAAGCGTAATATACCTAGTAAATATTACACGTAGTATGATATTACTACAGTTGTTATTTTAGTGTTTTAGTTTATTTTTGGTTTTTTTGGAGTCAGAGCAGGTTGATTCCCCCCCCCCTCCATTCAACGCCTGTATCAATGCCTGTATCATGATATAAAAAAAATCGACTTATAAAAAGTCTTGATAAAGGCAGGACATTTTGGAGTCTGGATGTCTAACTTTTGCTGGAGGCACATTAACTGTGAACAAATCCTTCCTATGCAACATGCAGTAATTACCAATCTCAAAAGGAGTACTCATGAGTCAGATGTCAATTTTTCTCAAATTTGAGACTCTTAGTAAGTCAAAAAAGTGTACAAGTTACAAAAATATACTCTGCATTCTTAGTGAAAGCTTTTGTTGTCCTCAATGCTTTTGGCCGCTGATGAGGCATACAAACTCTCAACTAAGTTTTAACCATAAACAACCTTCTGATAAGACTGCCCAATGATAACAATTTGTCAGTTGCTCCTTTACTCTTTACCTTCTCCATGTACATTAAAACAGCCTCCACCTTGAAAACTTTAGAACTGCATAAGCAAGTGAATAGCTTGTTATCAGGGCTTCATAATGCATATTAACGCACAAGATGGCGTTTCCTTGTTAGCCATCAGCTCAACCATGTTTAAATGTATTCATTGTTCCACGCTTAATGTCTTCATTGTACAGCGCATTTGAACATATCTATATGAATTCGCGCTTTATAAATGAATAAATTATTAAATTAAATTATTATTATTTCCATAAAATAATCTACAAGACTATTCTCATACCTTTCCTCTACAAGACATACCACCTACGTCTGCTTCGCAAATTATTCTGTGATTAGAATGCATTCCATGACACCAGTGCACATACTACCATGCATAGTGGTTTAAAACCCTACCTGACCCAGACATCAGTGAAATACTATCAGATTATTTTCACTCACATTGATTAAAACAATTTAACAAGTCTTTTCGAACTTATTTAGAGTCCTCATGGGTTTTCAATTTGGCTACAGGAATCGCGGTTAGGATCGACAATCAACATCACCCCTGACAAAAAGCTACAGTTCTTTCAACTACTTTTCAGTTTCAATTCCACTTAAGCTGTGTTATAACCCTCAAATTACGACTAACCTTCACACACAAAGTCAACACAATTACAATGAAGTCGATGACATTCAAGCAAATGCGATGAAACTGAGCACCAATAGGCCCGACGTCATCGGAAGCAATCACCCGCAGTATACCCTACATGTCTCAACAACAGAGGGCGCTGTTCATTACGCTCGAAATAACGTCAAATCCTGCGTGGCACCGGCTTTTAAGTTGATTTTTTTGCACAATGACGAATTGCGCGACTTTTTCGCTTGATTATATTTGTAGCCAATTAATCAGTCAATCAAATTATGAATAAACTAGACATTTTTGCCCAGGCCGTTTATGGCCAATTGTAAAAATACATCAACAACCATATGTTGATGTATATTTTTCTTGTTTGGGACTTTCCATAGTTTACTGTAAAAAATAAACCTGAATTTCTGTACTCTATTCAATTTTTTTAAAGCAAATTTATATCGGCCTGAAAGAGTGTCTAACGAGCTACAAAATAATGCAAAGGTTTATATCTGAAGATATAATTTTGTTTTTGACAAGCAGAGTTTTTTGTTGACATTTTTTCAACTGTGAAAAGACTACCTTTCCTCAAAAAAGCTGAAGTGCGTACTTCAGTGGAATAAACGGTACAATTATTAAAAAACAAATTTTTCTTTGGTAAACGATATCTCATTAGATAATAGTGAACTGATTTAAAGCATAATATCAAGGGAAAATTTTTTGAAATGTCTGGGTCTTAAACCACTCTCATGGACTCTTCCTCTCTACTGTAGACCAGCAAAGTGATCCCCTCTAATACAGACTATGTAATAAAACATTAATAACTTCGTGTCGGAGTGCCTGGAACTGGAGACACCTATGAATTTACAGTGAACAATCACTCTAAAAATAAAAACTTTACTACTCGTGCACACTGCACGTAAGGAATCCTCTGCAGCGAGCATGTGGACAGTTTCATTTTCAAATAGGGTGTTACAGCTGTATGAAGTCTGTCAATGCATGACTAATAACTGCAAGTGCATATATGCAGCACATGCCCTTTGACCCTTGTTTACTTTGTACAAGTGCAATGTTTTCAATGACAGACACAAGTATAACAACGCAAATGTAAGCTTTGACAACTGGGAAACTATTTCTATAAATACATTCATCACTGAGAGTCAGTGACTAAAAGAACCTTAAAGATAAAAACATACAGTGCAAGTGCAACAATTCAAAACTTCTCCTAAAAGTTTCTTTTTCCTTGAAAAGAATGACCATAATTTCATAACTTATAACACATCTCAATTGTTCTAACAAGCATTCTTAACCACGGATTACACAGAAAGAAAATCATGCCAATAACTTAAATCCAGAGATTGACATGTTTAACATATAAAATTGTAATCAATTGACATACTGCAGAATCATAATGTTAGCAGAAAAATTAAATTGAAATATTTGTTTACTCGTCTTTTCAGAATTTTCCTAGATGAATGAAGAAAACTGAAAACATCTTTGTACAGTATAACTATTAGCAACATCTACTTGGAAACATGCAAGCAAATCTTAGGGACACTTGAATGGCATATTGAAAGAATGGCCATAATTTTATAACCTATAACACACCCCAATTGCTCTAACTAACGAGCAGGCTTAACCACGCATAACGCAGTAAGAAAATCATGCCAATACATGTAGCTTTAATCCAGAGCTGTATGCAATT